ATATATATATATATCTTATATAATCACGTATCTAACTCTTAAACTATAATCTTCATATTTTGATAAGCCATCAACAAAGTTCTACATCCACCACGAATCTTGACGCATGACATGAATCTCAAAGTAATCTTTTGAACAAAAAATATTCAAACGTTGATTGAGTCATCCGGAGCTCTGATTTCAACAAATTTATGGTCAAACTGACCGAATCGGTTATATCGATCTAATAATACCAAAATTGGTTTAATTATCGATTATATCGATCTAATAATACCAAAATTGGTTTAATTTGATTCAACTCAAGCTCAGATCAAGTCATTAAATCACTTTTGGAAGCTTTTCAGTCATAATTAGAAAGTCAAATATATGTCGAATTTGATGAGCTTATAATTGAATCGGACATCTTGACAAGACAAATCTAACGATGTCAAGATCACTCAATTCCGACATCATTATGACACTCAAATGTTAATCAAGCTCCGTCTGATCATGGAATCTCTCTAGACCGTCCGATCAGAATCACTTATATTTTATTATTAATTGCAATTGAGACTATAAATAGAAACCCACCCCTCTTAAGAAAAAGAAAAAGCTTGATGTCTGAAGAAGGTTGATGCTTGGAGAAGAAGCTAAAGTTGTCTTCTACTCTTGTAGCTGTCGACCACCATAAACTACCGTCGACCACCACTCGCTAGTCGCCACCCACTCCATGCAATGAAGCACCGTGCAAAGCAAAAACTAGCGTCGCAGAGTCATGAAGCAACTTATAAAGCGACACAACATCCCGAACACTGAGCTGACCCAAAAACGGTGCAACAATGCACTCCAAAGATAGAGTGACAACACACTCCGAAGACGTTGCATAAGTGCATCTCAAAGATGAAGTAACGACGTACCTCGAATACGCTCGTGCAACTCTCGACTTCGGCTCTCGCAGCCTAAAAACGTCATTACAACTCATCACTATGACCTTTGTGACCAACTACATCTATTGTGGTCCACAACTCGTATAGCTTCCGACTCCAGCCTCTGTGGCCTACGAGGTTATTACAGCTCACCACTTTAACCAGTATGACTAACTAAGATATATGTGGTCCACAATTCATGCAACTCTTGCCTTTGGCCCTCACGGCCTACAAACATCATTATAACTCACCACTTCGGCCTATGCGGTCCACAGTTTGTTCAGCTCCCGACTTCGACCTTCAAGGCATATGGATGTTATTACAATTTACCACTACGACCTACGTGACTAATTACGACCTACATGTTCCACAGCTTGTGTAGATCCTAACTCTGACTTCTACGACCCAAGGACATCAACGTGCTTCTCTACTGTGGCCTATACAACCTACATGGTCCATAGCTCCCACAACTCATTATTACGATCTTGGTGGCCAACCCACACTCATGAAGAAACCATCTACGACACATCGAGCTAACTACTGTCATGGTTATCAACTACGACTTCTACGACAAGCTATCGCTGCAGCTACCGTCTGCAACACTTAAGGACGGACTACTACTTCCACAACAATCAACAATAACCCTTACAACATGTTATTTAAGATCAACAATCGGATTATGACTATACAACTTTGTAATTTTATATTCTCTAATTTAGAAGAAGATTGAACTTGTGTAGATTTTTCCCCTTTTAGGGGTTTTCCACATAAAAGTTGAGGTGTCTCATCTTACTCAATTCTCTTTAATTGTCTGAGTATGTGTCAGTTATTTATGAAATGTTAAGATAATAAATAATCGTCACTCTACCACTGCGAATCTTCTAGCACTTCAGTTTGGCGTCGTCTGTGGGAGACAAAATTTTGATCGACATTTTCTTCAAATCTGAGCACTAAGCTCCTATTTCATTTCCCAATTATGACAGTTGGTAGATACACTCATAAGTTTTAAACTCTCTATGAACCAAAAGCATATACTTCTCTGTTCCCTGGCTACGACTAAACATCGTGCTACTATGAAAATGATTCTCTAATGACACAAATATAACGTTAGTCTTTTTATCTTGATTGTTTTAGCTCGAATAGCTGCATTTGATTGAGTAAGTGAGCCTTTTGGTCTTCAGTCCATGAGCCCTCATTTTTCGTATTTTTTTCCTTTTAAAGAGTTAAATTTCCTCAAGATCACTGCTTGATTATGCTGCAGAGCATTATTTGGCTATGGGGTGTACTAATAAAGTCGCCCTAACTTGCCAAGCGAATCCATTGAATCAATTTGCCTAACTGATTGAGCAAAATTTTTAGTTGAACAGGCTACCAACGTTAATTTGTCGAATTATCTTGTTGACTCAGTCGAAGTCATCTAAACAGTTTTGCCGAGTTTACCTGCTAATTGGTTGAATTGGGTTGCCACATTATGCATCCTTTGAATATGCTTAGAATATTCTGAGCAAATCACATGCTTGATGCTGGCCTACATTTCAAACTTGGCCAAAGGGAATTTCACTGCTGGAAATGTTTTCTAAATCGGGGAAAAAATAGGTGGATTCATTTAGCCGGTTATTTCCGCTAAATGTGTTGTCGAATTAACATGATGGGCATTAATGACAGCTAAAAAAATGATTGAATTTTCAGCCGGTTTATTGAACCGACCAAAAAACCGACAAAATTTTCAATTGGTTCATAAATCACCTTAAATCGGCCGAATGTGCAAATAAAGTTTAGCTGAAAATTTGATTTAATTGAAATTTCAACCTTCAAAATACTGTCTTAAATTGCAATTGATCCCCAAAATCGCCACTTTTCTTCCCTTTTCCCTCAATCTCTCTCGATGTTGAAAACTATGCTCCGCTCACAATGTCAGCATGCAATCCAAAGAGAAAATATTACATCAGGACTCCCAACGTAATTTGCGTTCGGAGTCCAATGACGAAGCGCCACATGTCAAGTGAGCCCCACTGTAGTACACTGGTATTGGTCTGTGTTAAAAACTGTGGAGCACACTTGACACGTGGCGTACTACTATTGGACTCCGAATGTATTAAACGTCTTGATGTAATATTTTTTCAGAATCCAAACCCTTGAGAAGATAACCCTTATATTTCTCCCTCTTCCTCGTCTCCGCCCCCGTCTCTGCCCCATGAAGTCTGCTTTAGCTCTAAATCCCATAAATCCGTTAGGATTTAATGATGCTTGGATTAAAGAACTTGAAGATATTTAGGTTAAATCCTGCCTCATTCTGGGTGTGAGTTTAGGCCAAAATTAAATATCTTGCTTTATTGTTTATAGTTTAGAAAGATTTACATACATACCACTAAATTCTTATGTATTCACTTATCTAACACCTAAACTTTAAGTTTGCGTACATGCAACTTTCGTTATAAATAAAAATCTGTAATTTACTATTTAAAATTTAAAATGATGAGTTTCTTATGTGATATGAATGATTTGGGTTGTGTACATCTACAAAGTAAAGGTTAGGTGTTAGATGTTTAAATACATAAGTATAGGTTGGTATGCATGTAAATGCCCATAATTATGTCACTTGCAGTTATTTGAAATTGAGATGTATGGTCGAACTGCAACTACATGAGAATCAAAAAGAAAAATTACACTATGTATTTTTGAAGCCAAGAGTTAGAAACTTTGACCTATAACATATTAGAAAAATTAGTGAGAGTTAGTGAATGTTTTATTGCTTGAGATTTAGTATAATTCGAAAATATAATAATAAGATTATACCCATTAGCATTGGAGAATCTTATGTTCCATGGAAATATTTGATTTAAAATATTTTACATTTGTGAATGAACAATTAAACTTGACTGCTATATTGCTCTAACTTGTTTACTATTTATCATATAGAGTTTACGTTCAGTTCGAACATGGATTTTTTTTAAAATTTTGTTCAAGAATGTTTATTAGTTTTCCTATCGAGTATTATTTGCCATTTCAAGTTAACAACGACCATAAATAATAAATTTTTTTGCCCTCTTGAAAGAGAAGGAGATTCAAATTTTCTAAAAAGAAAAGAAAATGGTGCATTTACATACATATCACATGTTTCTTATTTGTTTATATATCTAATACAAACATTCATATTTACATGCAAACTACTGAAATGGTGAATTTAACTTTTTAAAAGTTAAAATAGTGATATTTTTATGTGATATAAAAGATTTGGGATTTACTTATATATTTAACTATCTATGATGTCAATTTTAATAGTTATGTACATATGTATGAAAAAATATATTAAATGAATGAGTTAAGTATTTTTTTCCTAAAATATATAGGTTATTAATGGATATCCATGATGTAAGATAATGAATATACCATAGATTCCATTCGAACAAAAATGATTAATTGATAAATTCTTGAATGATGTTGAGTTTTCTGTGTAATCAAC